GGCACATATCTGCCCAGGACTGATTCCTATATGTTACCCTTTGCCGCCCTCTGGTGGACACATTCAGCATTGCGCCCAGGACTGTGTTTTTGTCATTTGGGAATTAGCCATAAGTAAAAAGGTAAAGGTAGTCCCCTGACATTAAGTCCAGTCATGTCTGACTCTGGGGTGTGGTGCTCATCTCCATTTCTAAGCCGAAGAGCCAGCGTTGTCCATAGACACCTCCAAGGTCATGTGGCTGGCATGACTGCATGGAGCGCTGTTACCTTCCTGCCGGAGCGGTACCTATTGATCTACTCACATTTGCATGTTTTCGAACTGCTAGGTTGGCAGAAGCTAGGGCTGACAGCGGAAGCTCACGCCGCTCCCCGGAATCGAACCTGCGACCTTTCGATCAACAAGCTCAGCAGCTCAGTGCTTTAACCCACTGTGCCCCCGGGGGCTCCAAGCCATAAGTAGTTGCTGGGATTTATAGTACACCTATAACTCTGAACTCCACCAACAATGTAATTGAACCAAATGAATCAAACTTATCACAAAGAACTCCCATGACCAACAGAAATTTCTGAAAGGGTTTGGTGGGCATTGACCTAGAATTTTGGAGTTGTAGTTCACCTACATCCAGAGAGAACCGTGGACTCAAACCATGATGGATCTGGACCAAAGTTGGCACGAATACACAATATGTCCAAATGTGATCACTAGTGGAGTTTGGGGAAAATAGAGCTTGACATTTGAGTTGTAGTTGCTGGGATTTATAGTTCACCTACAATCAAAGAGAATTCTGAACCCCATGAACGATAAAATTGGGCCAAACTTCCTACACAGAACCCCCATCACCTGTGTTTTCTGATGGTCTTTGGCGACCCCTCTGACACCCCCTTGCGACCCCCCCCCAGGGGTCCTGACCCCCAGGTTGAGAAACCCTGCTCTAGACACACATATATATGTGTGTATGAACATAAACACACAACGTGAATGCTTAGTAGCTGCAAGGAAACGCTTAGTAGCTGCAAGGTAATTTTTAATGTGGAGGAAAAACACAAAGTATTCATTTTCTTTCAAAAAAATTATTTTATTGCAGCAGTCTTTAAAAAATCACATATAGGTCTAACCTATATACATATTTTTTTAAGTCTCCACAGCAATCAGTTGGCTGATTTGTCCCCTCCCTGCAACCACGTATTTAGGATGAAAGCAACCAATATTTGGGAAGACGATTGCGATTTTCCACGAACAATCTATTCTTCCAAAACCTCGCAAGAAGAGAGTGTGGAAACCCAACTCTGGATCTGCTTTAGAATGAAGATTTGGCACGTGGAAAGGATCATCCCAGAAGAAAGGTCACACAGACACACATATTAGGGTGCAAACAAAACCATTAAATGGATACCCGACAACTAAAATCCCATTAATCAACACTACGTCACGCATACAAAGAAAGTAAATAATTTAGAATATGTAAGTCTCAAACTGTGGATCCCATGAAAAGGAAGATACTCTGCCGTTACGTGCATCCCTTCACTTGCGATGGGTTATGGGTCTTGTTATGGGCAGAACAGCTACAAATATTTAAAAAAGGTAAACAAATGGCCGCCCTTCCCTCCTATACCTGACATACAGCCTTGAATATGTCCACACCTCTTCCAAAAGTTGGTTAAAACATGATCTTTAAACCTCGTGGAATTGTGACACAAGCACACTTATGCCAAACACACATAAGTAGGAAATAATAATAAAAAATCTTGTGTAAGGCACTAGAAGAATAGGGAGGATATAATTTGCCCCGAGTGGTGGCCAGCTCCATTCCGGTAGTAAGGAAATTGGTTACTCTGACAGATTGTGGAGTTGGATATGGCTTTGAAACGCACACACACACACAAACCCAACAGCAAGGGCAATGGTTTGGTCACAGGGGAGATCGAGGGCGGATGGGGGAACTGGTTAAGGCACTGTCTCCAAAGACGTTGGCGTACGAGGACTTCAGGAACTGGACGTAGTTCTGCATGCTGCGGTTGGTGCTCTCAGACTGTTCGAGGCGGTCCTTCAAGTCTTGGAGGCGGCTTTGGTACCGATGTTCGGCCTGCGGAAGGATTGAGACAAAGCATTGGCACAACAAAGACTCAGGCTGGATTTACGCTGCCAGGTGACACAGTTTCAGAATGCAGCTGAAATGCACTGAGATGGATTATATCAGTTATAGAACTCCAATATGCCGATGATAACGTAGTGTGTGCATATTCAGAAGATGACCAACAAGCCATGACCTACAAGCATACGAAAAGCTCGGCCTCTCACTGAACATCGAGAAAACCAAAGTGCTCTTCCAGCAGTCACTTATTTATTTTTATTTATTTACAGCATTTTTATGCCGCCCTTCTCACCCTGAAGGGGACTCAGAGTGGCTTACAAGATATATATACATACGATATATTACTAGCATAGCACAATAGCAGTATTATATATTACTATATTGAACTATACCATTATATTGTAATATCAGTAGTAATACTGCATGTAATATAAAATAATAATAATAATGATAGCAATAATACAATATTATAATTATATATTTTATATTACATGCAATATTACTAATAATATCACAATATAATGGTATAGTACAATATAGTAATATATAATACCGATATTGTGCTATCCTAATATAATATATTGTATGTATAATATATAATAATAGCAATAATACAATATTATAATTATATATTATTATTATTATGTATTACATTATAATATTATAAATCACTTGCCTTCTCATTGCTTCCCCAGGTGGAAAAAAGGAGACATAAAATCATTAATATTAATATAGGAAGTCATTAATATTAATTAATATTAAGTCCTTATTAATATTAATATTAGGAAGTTCATAGAATCATAGATTTGGAAGAGTCCTCATGGAGCATCCAGTCCAACCCCATTCTGCCAAGAAGCAGAAAAATTGTATTCAAAGCACCCCCAACAGATGGTCACACAGCCTGTTTAAAAGCCTCCAAAGAAGGAGGCTGAACCACACTCCCACTGGGGCAGAGAGTTCCACTGTTGAACAGCTCTCACAGTCAGGACGTTCTTCCTAATGTTCAGGTGGAATCTCAGTTGGAACTCACTACCTGGTGAGATTAGGCATGCCCCCACCTTAGAAGCCTTCAAGAAAAATTTGACAACTTGGCTCTTCCGATGTGCCTTTGGAGAGTGACCATTTATCCCATTTCTGCTTGCCCCTTCTATAGTGTTGCCCCTATGATGCACTTTCCCCCGTCCAAAACTGAATGCCTACCCCACTGTTTATTCTTTTTGGGTTCCCTTCAATTACATATTTTCTTTTCTACGTCATCCAGGGTTTTATCATTTTATCTCCTCCATTTGGCCTGCCCATTCTGTTCGATATATATATATTGTGTTAATTTGTTTTATTTATCCTATTTTGCTACTGTACGTATTTTATTCTGATGTAATTTTTTGTTGTCTACATTTGGTATTTTATTTTGCTGTATTGTATCTTTGGGCTTGGCCTCATGTTGGCTGCCCTGAGTCCCCTTTGGGGAGATGGTGGCAGGGTATAAATAAAGATTATTATTATTATTATTATTATTATTATTATTATTATTTTACTGACACAAAAACACAATACGTAACAGCAAACGAGATCTATATGCTGGATTTCATATCACAAAATCACGTCGAACACTTCCCAAGTGTCTATTATTATTATTATTATTATTACTCCTATTGATGCAGGTCAAAATCCCATTGGCTTTTTTTGCCACCGCATCACATTGTTGGCTCATGTTTAACTTGTTGTCCACGAGGACTCCAAGACATGCTTCCAGTGCTCAATAGAGATCTGCTTTATTTTGGGAAAAGCTGGAGTCTTATGCAGGAATGTCCTGTCAGGTGAGGCCTGGACAAATTTGGGCCCTCCAGATATTTTGGACTCCAATTCCCACAATTCCTAACAGCCTACCAGCTGTTAGGTACTGTGGGAGTTGCAGTCCAAAATACCCGGAGGAAGGGTTAAAGCTGGCCCATACTTGGGCGAAAGATGGTGGCCCATTACTTACATCATCCTTGGTCCGCCGCATCTGATTCAACTCTGTCTTGGTCCTGCTCAGCTGAGTCTCCAAATCCAATATTTTAGACTGGGCTGTTCGTTCCCTTGTCGCCGCCCGCTCCCTCGCCTGCTCCAACTGCAGAGAGCAAGGCAGAGAATTCAGTATCTATTTATTTAATTATGACATTTATATGCCGCCCTTCTCCCCCTGAAGGGGACTCTGAGTGGCTTACAAGATATAGACATGCAATACATTATATTATTAGCACAGCACAATATCAGTATTATATATTACTATAATGTACTATACCATTATATTGTAATATTATTAGTAATATAATATTACTATATTATTGTAAAGGAGGGTAAAATTACTGCCACCAAATTTGTGAGGAAAGCCGGGCAATGATCAACATCAGCTTAGGAGCTGGTTTATAAAGGGAATATTAGTTACAGAAGGATTTATTCATTTGATAGCATAGCGTTTACTGTCCCTGGTTTGACTTTACTTCTTATGCAGGCTGTTTGACTTAGGAGAAACTGTATCAGGCAAGGCTTGAGGAAAACAGTAACAAGTTTATTGGAACAAGCAAGGTATAACAGATTCGATGTTTCTTCTCTAGAGGCACAAATCTTGATAGGTTACATTAGTAAGGTTTCATGAGTAACTTTAGGTACAGACTTTAAGAGGTTTCTATAAGCAGATGTATCTTTCCTGGACAACTGTCCTAATAAAACAAATAAGCTAAAAGGCTTATTTAACAGAATTGGCTCCCAGCCAAACCTTGATTCTTAACCCAGAATCAATAACCCCCTGTAGTTTTATCACTACCGGGTCCTTTCCTGTAACCCCTTTGGTCACAAATTAATTCCCTGAATCTCCACCCAGAGATTCAGTCTTCCCTGTAACTCTACCGGTCACAGACTGCCACTTTCAAACAGCTGCCCCGTGAAGTGACAGTTGGCTCCGCCCCTGTTGCTATGGCAACTCAGCTCAAGCCACCAGCCACCATCTCTAACAAAATATAATCCTACATACTTACCGTTTATTAACTACTGTTTAAACAACACATAACCATAGAAATAAAATTACACATCATCACAATTATTATTATATATAATTATAATATCATATATTATAATATAATAATCATATATTATATTATTAGTAATACTATAATGCACTATATCATTATATTGTAATATTATTAGTAATATAATATTACTATATTATTATATATAATTATTATTATAATATAATAATTATATATTATATTATTAGTAATATAATATTAATGTAATTATAATATAATTACATATAATATAAAATATATAATTATAATATCATATTATTATTATTATTATTATTATTAGTATTAGTATTAGATTGAATCAAGACTTGGTTTTACAGGGGAGCCAGAGTTTCCCTTTAGAAAACAGAGTGGAAAGAACGGGAGTCTGATCTCAACTTCCAGAAGGCCAGGGACCAATCAACACGCGGCGTTCCCGCACCCACCTGCCTCTTGGCATCGTCAATGGCCATCTCCAGCTGACGGGCCAAAGAGCCGCATTCCCGGGTCTTCTCCTCCAGGCGCAGCTGGGACTGATGGATCGACTCCTCACGCTTGGCAATAACCTGCAGGAACTCAATGTTCTGGCTGCTTGTTGCTTCAAGTTTCCTAAACCATGACAGTAAAACAATTTATTTTCATAAGGATTCCATTGAAATGAAAGAGGAAAATATGAAAACAAACACACAAGGGAAGTACGGCGTAACTCTGAGGAATCACAGTTTCCACCTAAATATTAATACTGACAATACTGACAAGCTGGAATGCGTCCAGAGGAGGGCGACTCAAATGATCAAGGGTCTGGAGAACAAGCCCTATGAGGAGCGGCTTAAAGAGCTGGGCATGTTTAGCCTGCAGAAAGGAATACTAAGAGGAGATATTTTAGCCATGTATAAATATGTGAGAGGAAGTCGTAGGGAGGAGGGAACAAGCTTGTTTTCTGCTTCCCTGAAGACTAGGACACAATGGCACAATGACTTCAAACTGCAGGAAAGGAGATTCCATCTGAAGATTAGGAAGATCTTCCTGACTGTGAGATCTGTTCAGCAGTGGAACTCTCTGCCTCAGAGTGTAGTTGAGGCTCATTCTTTGGAGGCTTTGAAACTGGATGGCTTTGAGTTTGAGGCTGGATGGCCATCTGTCGGTGGTGCTTTGAATGCGATTTTTCTGCTTCTTGGCAAGGGGTTGGACCAGATAGCCCATCAAGTCTCTTCCAAATCTATGATTCTAAGGACTTCTTAATATTAATATTAATAAGTACTTAATATTAATTAATATTAATGACTTCCTAATATTAATATTAATAAGGATGTATTGTCGAAGGCTTTCATGGCCGGAATCACTGGGTTGTTGTAGGTTTTTTCGGGCTATATGGCCATGTTCTAGAGGCATTCTCTCCTGACGTTTCGCCTGCATCTATGGCAGGCATCCTCAGAGGTAGTGAGGTCTGTTGGAACTAGGAAAAAGGGTTTATATATCTGTGGAATGACCAGGGTGAGATAAAGGACTCTCGTCTGCTGGAGCTAGGTGTGAATGTTAATAAGGACCTAATATTAATATTAATTAATATTTATACTAAGAAGGCCTTCCTAACTAACATTTTAAGGCATCGTGCATCTGGCCTGTCCTTTGTTTGATTTTTATTATGTTATTTTGCATTGTTTATTTTATTTTGTTAATTTATGTATTTTGTTGTGATGTCATTTTTCTGTTTTTTTTGTGTCTAATTATGCTGCGCTATTTTTGGGCTCGGCCTCATGTTAGCCGCCCAAAGTCCCCTTCAGGGAGATGGTGGTGGGCTATAAATATATTATTATTATTATTATTATTATTATTATTATTATTATTATTAATAATAATAATAATAATAATGACTTTCTGTATGGCTGCACTGCCTGGGAGTTTGGTTCCTCTCCTTCTTGGAATGATTTTAAGCAGAAGCTGGGTGGCCATCTGTGCAGAAGGATTGGATGGTGTGTTCCTGAGCAGCAACTCAACTGTGTGCAACAATTGTAAACATCCCGACAACCCGCGTTGTGGTTTTTGCCCTCCCCTGACCTCTCCACTTCTTCCAGCTTGAGGACCAGCTGCTTGTTCTGCTCCTGGGCCAAACGATATTTCTCTCTTGCCATCTCCATCTTGTCTCCTTGGAGTTCAATCTAAAGCAGAGGGAAGAGAAGCGTGAAACATGCAAAGTATCTTCAGAGAGACCAGGGAGGGACCCCAGAAAGGAGCCAAGGAGAAGGTCTTTGCTATCATTGCTTCTTGGAGAAACAGGGATGGACTTCTGAGCAAAGCAAGAGGTGATCTGTTTTCAATGTCAGGCTACAGACGGGAAACAGACGGAGTAGGAATTGTTTGATCACAATGTCGTTTGCTTCACTACTAAGTTACCCGTTAACTAGTTTCTGAAAACCTTTCCTGCTCACAGCCCCCTTTCGGCCAGAAGAAATGTTTACGTGACCCCAAGCATCGATATAAAAAAATCAAACAATTGCTGATAACAAACTAGAATTTACAAGGTGATTTTCCTCTTTATGAAGTTCAGCTGAGGCATATTTCACAAAATCCGCAGTAAACGGTGCACAACCAATCTGTGTAAATACCTATAACAGCCACTAGGTGGCATTTGGAAACGTTTGACTGTTGCAAAATGTTTTGTGATTGAGCAAAGGCGAGAGGAGGAAAACTCAGGCCTGGGGCTGGATTCTCAGGCCCTCCTCTCTCACCATCCTATCCTTCCTTCCTTCTCTTTCCTTCCTCCTTTCCTCCCCTTTCCTTCTTCCCTTCCACCCTTTTGTCCTTCCTTCCCTTTCCTTCCTTCCATCCTTCCCTTCCATCTTTCCTTCCTTCTTTCATTTTTCCTTCCTTCTCTCTTTCCTTTCTCCTTACCTCCTTCTCTTCCCTTCTTTTTCTCCTTCCATCCTTCCCTTTCCACCCTCTCATCCCTCTTTCCTTTTGTCTTTCCTTCCTTCCCCTTCTCTTCCTTCCGCCTTACCTCCCTCCCTTTCATTCCTTACTTTCTTCTTTCCGCCCTCCCTCCTTCTCCTTCCATCTTTCCCTTCCTTCCCTCTTTCCTACCTCTCGCCATCTTTCTCCTTCCTTCCCTTTTGTCCTTCCTTCCTTCCTCCTTCCCTTCCTTCCATCCTTTCCTTCTCTTTCTCTTCTTCTCTTCTCCTTCCTCTCTTTCCTTCCTTTCTTCCCTTCCCTTCTCCTCTTCTTCCTTTTTCCTTCTTTCTTCCTTTTCTTTCCTTCCTTCCTTCCTCCCCTTCCTTCCTTCCTTCCCTTCTTTCCTCTTCTTTCTTCCTCCTTCCCTTCCTTCCATCCTTTCCTTCTCTTCACTTCCTTCCCTCCTTCTCTTCTGCCGTTCCTTGTCTTTTCTTCCTCCTTCCTTTGCTTCCATCCTTTCCTTCTCTTTCTTCCTTTCCTTCCTTCTACCCTTCCTTCCATCTTTCTCTTCTATCGTTTTGTCCTTTCCTTCACTTTTTTCTTTCCTTCCTTCCTCCTTCCATCCTATTCTTTCTTCCTTCCCTCTATCCCTTTCCCCTTCCCTTCCTTCCCTTTTGTATTTCCTTCCTTCCCTCTTTCCTCCTTCCTTCCCTCTCTCTGTCTTTCTCCTTCCATCCTTCCCTTTCATCCTTCCCTTCCTCCCTTTTGTCCTTCCTTCTCTCTTTCCTTCCTACTTCCCTTTTACCCTTTCGTTGTTCCTTTCATCTTTCACTTTTGTCTTTCCCTCCTTCCCTCTTTCCTACTCTCCTTCTTTCACCTTCCATCCTTCCTTTCTTCCCTTTTGTCCTTCCTTCTCTCTTTCCTTCCTCCTTACCTCCCTCCATTTCCTTCCTTCTCTTCCTTTCTTTCTTCCTTACTTTCCTCCCTCCCTCCTCCTTCCATCCTTCCCTTCCTTCCTTGCCTCTTTCCTACCTCTCTCCATCTTTCTCCTTCCTTCCTTTCCTCCTTCTCTTCCTCCGTTCCTTTTCTTTCCTTCCTTCCCTTCTTCCCTTCTACCCTTTTGTTGTTCCTTCCTTCCTCCTTTTGTCTTTCCTTCCTTCACTCTTTCCCTTTCTCCTTCTTCCTTCCTTCCTTCCTTCTCCTTCCTTCCTTCCTTCCTTCCTTCCTTCCCTCCTCCTTCCTTCACCGGGAAGCCGGCCCTCCTAGCTTCTTAATCTGTGAGCTGGGACCCACAGTTTAAGAAGCAGCAAAGGGGGCTGCCCAAAGGCACGTCCTATGAATTCAGAAAGAGGATGATGGGGCCGGCTTGTGCCCTGGGACCTTCTAATTTACGAGGATTGGGCCCTTTTTCAGGGAATGTCTATCCAGCCTGAAAGGGTTTCTTCTCAAGTGCCACACAGAAGAGCCACCAGCCACCTGCAAGGAAAACGAAGCACACCCATTGAGGTAAACGGCACATTCTCCATCACAGAGGTAAGAAAATAAAATGGATTAGGGAGCCAATGAAAGCACGAGGTTGACAGCGAGAACAATCAAAGCGCAAAACATTCACAGGGAGGGAACATGAAGGCCTAGTGCATGGCGCTAAGTGTGTATTAACCTCGACATGAAGGAAATGACACATGCATTTAGGTGCTCCTCAGCCTAAAACACATTAAAGCACCCAGAAGAATGGGATGAATCTGCCAGGTTGGCATTAGGCCTGTGGCAAAATAGCAAAGCTGCAAAGTGCAATTGAGTTGGCAGTTGTAAATAAACCTTATATAAAGGAAAGACTGTGAAAATAAGACTATTATTGGGCAAATATACCTCAGTTTCAAGTTACCAACACGCATTGGTTGTCCCTTCTATTTTAACAGGTCCTGCTAGACATTTTTGGCCAAAAATGTCTGGTTTTTGAAACCCAGCCTTTTCCCCTACAGACTTAGGACCTTTTCAAAGGATAAAATTAGTGCATTGTGTTGTCGAAGGCTTTCATGACCAGAATCACTGGGTTGTTGTGAGTTTTCCAGGCTGTCTGGCCATGTTACAAAAGCATTATCTCCTGACATTTCACCCGCATCTATGGCAGGCATCCTCAGAGGTTGGGAGGTCTGTGAGAAACTAGGCAAGTGGGGGTTATCTATCTCTGGAATGATGTCCAGGGTGGGAGAAAGAACTCTTGTCTGTTTGAGGCCAGTGTGAATGTTGCAATTGGCCAGCTTGATTAGCAATGAATGGCCTTCCTGCTTCAAGGTCTGCCTGAAAGGCCAATAGTATTCTTGACAAAAAATAGCAGCAGCAGTAGTAATAATAATAATAATAATAATGATAATAATAATGCAATTGGCCAGCTTGATTAGCATTGAATGGCCTTGCAGCTTCAAGGTGTGTCTGAAAGGCCAATAGTATTCTTGACAAAAAGTAGTAGTAGTAGTAGTAATGTTGCAAATGGCCAGCTTGATTAGCATTGATTGGCCTTGCAGCTTCAAGGTGTTTCTGAAAGGCCAATAGTATTCTTGACAAAAAATAGAAGTAGTAGTAGTAGTAGTCAGAGAGCACTGTGGACTCAAACAATGATGGATCTGGACCAAACTTGGCACGAATACTCCATATGCCCAAATATGAACACAGATGGAGTTTGGGGGAAATAGACTTTGACATTTGGGAGTTGTAGTTACTGGGATTTATAGTTCACCTACAATCAAAGAGCATTCTGAACCCCATGAACGAGAGAATTGGGGCAAACTTCCTACACAGAACTCCCATGACCAACAGAAAACACTTAAGGCCATCCAGCCCAACTCCCTTCACCAGGGCAAGAAAACGTAATCAAAGCCCTCCTGACATAGAGCCATCCAGCCATAGATCTAAGCTATATAAAGGAGCAGCTCTACACTTTGCATACTTTTAAAACTCAGAACTTCAGTCTGGGACTCCTCTTTGAAAACAGCCTGCAAGAGGGAGTCATGTTTTTACAAGAATTTAAAATTGGACATTACTCTTGGAAGTCTCATCAGGAAAAGTGGCTTATATTTTTTCTAACCATTTAAATGGGACAAATGGGCATCGGAAAGAAAGCAGCAGAAAGAAAGGCTACAGGAGAAATCTAACTTAGAATCCTAGAGTTGGAAGAGACTTCATGGGCCATCCAGTCCAACCCCCTGTCAAGAAGCAGGAAAATTGCATTCAAAGTACCCCTGACAGATGGCCATCCAGCCTCTGCTTAAAAGCCTTGATGGGGAAATAAAAAGTTGGACATAGAAATTTTAAAATTTACTTGGTCTTTCTAAGCCTTTTAAAAGGTATTGTCTGGTTTAAAAGGTAACAATTTCCACCTGGCTATGCTCACTGGACAGAAAACAAACTGAAATTTGCAGGGTTATGCTGTACTTATATCCTTGAATATGTTCAGGCACATTTTGGGACATTTATATTGTAACCCTGTTTTAGCTTGTTGGGATAGTTAACAGGTACTTCTGGTCTATTTCACTTGGTTTGATTATTTTTAATGAAAGCTCTTCTCCCTTCCATTTCCTCCTCCCAACCAGCCAAGGATGTCTTTGCCTCCCACAAAAAGAGGGAAGAGATTTCTTTGCACTAATCCAAGGAGGGACCCAGCCTGGAAAGCTACACCTTTATTCTCCAGCTCCTGTTACAGGAATGGATAAATATTATGCACAGAATGATATAGCTAAATAAACAACGTAAGGCTAACATGACACAGTTGAAGAATAAACACTACACAGTTCAGCAATAGCTGTAACATTGCCTTCCCCTCTTCTTTCTCCTTGCAGGATGCTGCATGGCTTCGGTCTCCCTGATCCCCCCAAAAGGGAAAAGAGGAAACAGCCCCTCAAAAGAATCCAGAGGGAGAACCAAAGTGAAAAGATCCATTCTTCAGCCATCGTTCTTTAAATATGAAACAAATCGCAGTTGCAGAAAGTTCTGCAAAAATAGGTAATCACTAATATAAGATGGAAATTACATAATTCAGCTCTGACCATGGGAGCCCTTTGTCTGAGACTGAAGCAGAGACCATGGTCCCACTGACAGGAACAGGGCAGGGACTGCTTTTGAAGACCTTCTGCATCCCATGGTCCTGGTATCCAGTCCAAGAAGCAGGGAGCAAATGAGAGCCCCAGAGTCAAAAGATATCGTTGATGTATTGTCGAAGGCTTTCATGGCTGGAATCACTAGGTTCTTGTGGTTTTTTTCGGGCTATAGAGCCATGTTCTAGAGGCATTTCTCCTGACGTTTCGCCTGCATCTATGGCAAGCATCCTCAGAGGTAGTGAGGTCTGTTGGAATTAGGACAATGGGTTTATATATCTGTGGAATGGCTGGGGTGGGGCAAGGAGCTCTTCCCTGCTGTAGCTAGGTGTGAATGTTTCAACTGATCACCTTCATTAGCATTTGAAGGCCTGCCTGAGCCTGGAAAAATCTCTTGCTGGGAGGTGTTAATATGTGCCTGGTTGTTTTCTCTCTGTTGATTTGCTGTTGTAATTTTAGAGTTTTTTAATACTGGTAGCCAGATTTTGTTCATTTTCATGGTCTCTTCCTTTCTGTTGAAATTGTCCACATGCTTGTGGATTTCAATGGCTTCTCTGTGTAGTCTGACATGGTGGTTGTTGGTGTGGTCCAGCATTTCTGTGTTCTCAAATAATATGCTGTGTCCAGGCTGGTTCATCAGGTGCTCTGCTATGGCTGACTTCTCTGGTTGAAGTAGTTTGCAGTGCCTTTCATGTTCCTTGATTAGTGTTTGGGCCATGCTGTGTTTGGTGGTCCCTATGTAGACTTGTCCACAGCTG